AAAACCAGGGCCCTTCTTCCGCCACCCTACGTCCTGCATCATGGTGAAGCGAGGACACCCGCTATCAGTTAAATAAATTTTTCGCAAATCGTGTATGGCGCCGGCCGAGCCGAGATTTCCTTATTGCCAGGAAGCGACCACCCATTGCCCTGACCGCCTTGAACGATGATCGGCAATGGATGGGACCAGCGCCATCTGAATAAGACGACCCACAAAAATATTTACAGTTCCCTCCTTCATGTCATGCACCCTCTCCCCCCTCTCTCTCCCCTCACCCCCCCTTTCCCCACCTCCCCACTCTCCTCCACCCCATCGCCTTTCACAGTTCCTTAGCTATATGATAATTATTTCGAGTTTCTAAATCGAATCCCCTCGCCCTTCCAAGTCATATTTTCGAGAATGACTCCTCAACGCGTCTCCACTCCATCAGCCCACTTGTTGGGGAATTTTTGTCCAGACAACAAAAACGGATTTTGGACCACCAGCCAATAACCTGTTCCACGCGAGTCCACCAGACATCCTTCATTCATTTGCTGCTAATTTTCCCAGACTAATCTCGATATTAAACCGAAAATCAGTCACATCAACGACGGCTTACGAGCCGTGCATAAGTTACAAGAAATTTGACAACTGAGAACGAGGAAAAGCGCTTTCCCACATGAAAAAAAAATTATTGGCGACGCGCACCGGGCAGGCCCATGCGATCATGCGTTTTTGCAGTATTTTGTGCTGTTGTATGATCGCTTGGAGTCCCAAGAATTTATGGCATACTGGTTGTCGAGGGAAATTAATTGTGCAATGACATGGTACTTAGTCAGGGAACACCCCCTCAAAATCTCAGCTTTCTGTCTTTTCTGATCCTCGAGTTAGCAATTTTTTCACCAAAAATTTTCACGGGGCCGTAATTGAGAACCACGCACACCTGGGGACCGAATCTGAAGTCTTTGGATTCTATGTGGGCGGGGAACATAACCGAAAAATTTCAGCTTTCTAGCTTTTCTGGTTCCTGAGTTAGCGACTTTCCTGCCAAAACTTTGAGGGGCTCGTACGTGTGGTCCAGAACTGCGTGAGGGTTGGTATCGGGGTCTCGAGGTGGCACTCGGCCGGGGAACCCACAGGCAAAATTTTGGCGACGGAACTTGCTTGGGTGCCAAATTGAAATGCCCGGACACACACACGCACACACACATACACACACACACACACACAGCGGGGTCATTACAGTATGCATTTTCGCATTCGCATATACGCAACGACGCATAAAAAACACCACCGCCCAACAAACGACCG